TCAAAGGGTTAGGAAAGACTTCAGGGGCTGCATGGGTAGCACTCTGGACAGGGACCTCTACAGGCTCTTCTGTCATAACCAAGCTGGATGTGAAAGATCTCAACATTCACATTTGATAGAGAGGCCCAAACTGGAAGCTGCATAGAAACAAAAAGAACTGTCTAGACGTTGACTGCCAACAAGTTAATAGAAGATAATCGTGAAGTTTCAGTTCCTTTCTGGACTCACTAGCCAAGTGAGCTCTGATAATTCCCTTTACCCACTGCCTGCAACCCATAGAAGGCACATTTTTGCATTATGATTCTGTGTACACACATTTACACACCTCCATGACATACTCTGATGTTTGTTACAATAGCATAATCTATTCCTTTCTATTGCTATGTGAGACCTATTAAGTTGATTTAGTCCACAGGGATCCCACCATTTAGAAAACGTTCCATTTCCTCATTTTAATGAAGAAAAAAAAAAACACCACTACCTCCTTGGATAAAAAAGTAATATAATTTTCCCAAGGGTGCTCTGTAGAAGGCTTCTTGTTTTTTTGTGGCTTGGGAGGTTCTTACCATACTCTGTTCAAAGAAAACGTTTACATTGGTATATTAAAGGCGTTCAGTTTCTATACAGTAAAAATCTTACTTATTGGAAATTTATTTGACCATTAAAGTCACACTACTCCCATACATATTTAGATAAGATGAGCATTTGGGGAAATGCAGGGGGAAAAAATTAAGTGAGCCCATTTTGAAAATTATAAAACCATAAGCACTATTATTGTGGCAGTCTATCATCTCAGAGAAAACATTTCAGATCCTAAGATTTTCTTAGAATTTGAATGCAAGTATTTCTAGCTCATAGCATCCTCAACCTCTAGGGCTCAGGCAGATCCTTTTGCTTCAGCTTCCCAAGCAGCTGGGACTACAGGTAATTTTCTATTTATTGTAGAGATGGGGTTTCACTCTTGCTCAGGCTGTTCTTGAACTCCTGAGCTCAAGCAATACCACCTGCCTCGGCTTCCCAGAGTGCTGGCATTATAGGCCTGAATGCCAGTATTTCTGAGATCGTTTTGGTGCCAGGAAAGTAGAGATCTTTCTATTCCATTTGCCTCTTCACCAACTATAGTATAAGATTCCTACAGGGTATGAAATACTGGAGACATTTAATTTCAGCATTTCCCTGGCAGCTGAAAGGTTTGAGAGCTTATTTAAGCTTTAAAGAAACATATGTCACATGAGCAAAATATCATGGTTTTTAAAGAAATACCATTTGTGTCACTTCTGTTGGCAAATATTCCTTGGGGCTGAGAATGCAAACTGTCAAATCGCATACAAATCTAAACTACCAAAATAAAAGCCAAACGAGGCATGGCAACAAAATAGAATTGTTTTAAATTAATTAAATAAGTAATTGAGCAAATAAATTCTGCAGTCCTGATAAATAGCATTTCTGTTGTAGAATCTACTCCAGGCACTAAAGAAGAATGCCTGTGCTCTTGAATCTTGGCCACCAAGAACCAAATAGTACCTAATTGCACATCCACCCTGCCCAGCTCTCAGAGTGATCAATTCATAGACCACAATGCTATCCTGTTATCCTCGGGATAAAGATGTCATAGCAAACCCTTCCTGGGACAAACCTGCTTATTTCTCGGGCTTCCATTCTTACTCCTCCTTTTCTACCACCTTTTTTTAAAATTTATGAATAAAAATTACATATACTTATATACAATATGATATGGGCTTTTTTTTTTGAGATAGATTCTCACTTTGTCACACTCACAACAACCTCCAACTCTCAGGCTTAAGCAATCCTCTTGCCTCAGCCTCCCAAGTAGCTGGAAGGATAAGTGCCCCCCACCACACTGGCTATTTTTTAGAGATGGGGTCTTGCTCTTGCTTAGGCTGGTTTCAAACTTATGAGCTCAAGCAATCCACCTGCCTTAGCCTCCTAGAATGCTAGGATTACAGGCATGAGCCACTGTGTCCAGACCCAGACATATTATTAACATATTCCTCAACCTCAAGGAAGCTGGCAATCTGGTGGGGGAGCAGGCAACCACAAACAGGTGATCCAAACAGTGTGCTAAGTTTGGCCATAAAGATCAGGTCCTGATGGGAACATAGAAGATGAGACCCAAGTCCAGAGGGATGGGAGCAAGAAGTTTAAGAAAGTTTCTTGAAGGAGATTAAGCCAGAGATGAGCCCAAAGTGCTAGCTAAGCGTGGAGGAAAAGGAAGAGTGCCGAAAGCACTCCATGAATCAGCACAGGGATGACGTGAGCAAGACGCTCAAAGCAGTTCAGTGCTGCTGAAGCATTAAGTGGGAGAAAAGGAAATTAAAAATAGAACCTGCATATGATCCAGCAACCCCACTACTGGGTGTATATCCAAAGGAAATGAAATCAATATGTCAAAGAGGTGTCTGCACTCCTGTATTTATTGCAAAATTATTCACAATAGCCGAGATAGAATCAACCGAAATGTCCATCAGTGGATGAATAGACAAAGAAAATGTGATGTAAATACACAATGGAACACTATTCATCCTTTAAAAAGAAGGAAATCCTGTCATTTGAGACAACAGTGATGAGCCTGCAGGACATCATGTTAAGTGAAGTAAGCCAGGCTGAAAGACAAATGAGAGTAGATTTTGCTGTAAAGTGAGGATTTGAGGTGATGCAGATGTTAATTCTGTTGACTGAGCCATTCCATGACTACTGGTCACGTCTGGCAGGCTTTCAAATTAAACGTCTTGAGAAGGTCATACCATTGCTGGCTTACATCCTGTACCTGAGCAGATAATCTTACCTTGTGTTCCTCAAATTGTTGATATACTGATTAATCTATAAGTGACACTGAGAAGGACATGGATTTGTTTCTGAATCGTGAAGCTTTACTGACCATCTTGCAGGTACCACGTTTCAGTCTATATGTTGGTGTCTGCAGCCAATGACTGTAATCTTTCTCATAGAAGCCTTTCAGCTCGTAGCAGATTCTGGAACATACCCAACATTGTATGTGTACGCATCTTCCCAGGGCTATTTTCACATTTGGCTAAATAGCCATCAAACTTTTCTGCCTCAACAGCCTTAATTTCAGTCCACACCACAATGTATATGTATTTTAAGACATCATATTGAGGTCGGGAGTGGTGGCTCACACCTGTAATCCTAGCACTCCGGGAGGCCGAGGTGGGTGGATTGCGCTGAGTTCAGGTTCCAGACCAGCCTGAGCCAGAGCAAGACCTCATCTCTAAAAATAGCCGAGCATTGTGGCCGGCACCTGTAGTCCCAGCTACTTGGGAGGCTGAAGTAAGAGAATCGCCTGAGCCCAGGAGTTGGAGGTTGCTGTGAGCTATGACAGCAAGGAACTCTACCCAGAGTGACAAAGTGAAACTCTTGTCTCAAAAAAAAACCCAAAACAGGTGGTGCCTGTGGCTCAGAGGGGTAGGGCATCGGCCCTATATGCCAGAGGTGGTGGGTTCAAGCCCAGCCCCAGCCAAAAACAATAATATGTCTGATTTATCTTTGGGTCTCCTGCCAGTGACAGTACATATTACATACTTAAATGTTTGAATGATACATTTATACAGAGACAGTGTAACTTCCTTTTTGGGTTAACATACTCATGTTATAGTGTGTCCCCAAAGTCGCCCATAAAGTCACACCGGAAAGGAAAATAGGAAATTATAACTAAATGCACATTTACAAAATCTGTTACAAAATTATAAAATATTTACAAAATTTTCTTTATGTGTTGGTCACCTCCTCATAAAATATTGTAATGAATATTTTGTAAATAAAGGTGCATTTAGCTACAATTTCCTATTTTCCTTTGTGGTACAACTTTATGGGCAACTTTGGGGACACCTGGTAGTATCCTGTAATAGGTGTCATGCAGGAGGCATTATCAAAGTACTTTGAATTTCTGGTGAGATTGAAGGTGCAATAATTTAATCGAACTAGTTGGCAATAAAATAAGGTTTTAAGTAACTTTGAAGTCAGATAAACCTGACTTAGAATCACAGTTTTATCTATATGATCTTGAGCAAATTATTAACCTCTCTGGGTTTTATTGCTTTTCTCTGTACCAGGGCATAAAAATCAATCCTACCTGATTAAGATTGCCATGAGTGTTAAATGAGATAATACATGCTTAGTACAATACCAGGCACATAATAAGCACTCAATCACTGGAGACATTATTTTAATGTTATAACCAGACATCGAAGGGGACATTATAATGAGCAAATCTGAAAAGAGTTTGGAGGAGAAATTTAAGAGAATGGAGTTGTGTCAGAACAGAAGTATGGATGCCAGAACACACGTGGTTTATTCAGGAGGAAGTGACCACAGACGAAGCTGCCATTCAATTCAATCTAACTGTCTGGCAACCAAAACCCAAACTGACATTTAAAGGATGCATGGCATGGTCTGCTGGGAAGGATGTTGGATATTAAGAGTAAGGAGACTCATCTCCTAGTACGAGCTCAACCATTATATAATTCCACTGGTTAGCTCCACTGAGCTTCAAGTTTCTTTACCTGTAATAGAAGGATGTTGAAATATAGCAGTAATGACTATTTCACCCTCAGACCCAGAATAGTTATTAGTAATAAATTTCTCCTTTCTATAAATAGGGATAGAGCCTTAGTATCCTTTTCAATGATTTACTGAACAGCTATACCCAAATGACTAAAACTAGGTCAGGTAAAACATTTGCCATCAATGGACTAGCATTTGTTATTTTTTTTTAAGCTCTGCTAAGTAAAATCAAATTTCTTAGGTAACTGAAAATCTCGTGGTGTGCTGAAATAGTCATTGAATTTTTCATTGCTTTAGAAATAAACATTGCCATCTAGATCCTATATAGACCTTATGTTAAAGCCTACTAAGATAAGTTATGTATGTACCATAAAGTGACTATAAATTCAATTCATGTTGAAAAAGTTACTCATGTATCCTCAAACTTTAACCTGATTTGGGGTTTTATTTAATTACAGATCTGAAAATTCATCTCCAGACCACTGATTATGGCAACTTCTTGGCTAATCAAACAAATCCTCTTACTGTTTCCAAAATTGACACTGAGATGAGAAAAAGGTTATGCAGAGAATTCGACTACTTCCGGAATCATTCCTTGGAGCCCCTCAGCACATTTTTCACCTACATGACGTAAGTGATAATAAAAAGTCCTAATAAGCCCCAAGGTAGTTGTACAAATGCCCCCCAACAGTGACAGGTAGGGTATTCAGCCAGAGTGAGACCTACAATTTTTCCATTGTTTGTAAATTTGAAAACATTTACCTTTTAGCAACCAATAAGCTCAGAGAGACATACTTTCACATTGTAAGATAGATTTATTCGTAAACATGATTATGTAGGTAGTAAATAGCCTCCATCTAAAGCAATATTTTCAATTTTCCCTTCAAAAAATACGTGGTACTGATTCTTAAAGTGTTACTTCTGAAGGTAAATATTATGTGATATTTTTGGATGACTTGTGAAGGTGAGGTTGAAATAGCACAAATCATTCTTATGGCTATGTCTCCCTCTTTTAATTCAGTAACAGTATAAGTGGCCCCTGTCAAAATTGTATGTGTTTTATTTTTATCCATCACCAGAGGTTCTAAGCTTCTTATTCTAAAAAAAGTTTCAAATCTCTAATAGTACATTGTATTTTATTACATCTATTAATAAATTGTATTTAGTGCTCAAATGAGCCGTATGAAATAGCTTTTGGCTCTCCAGGTCTCCTTGCTGACAGTAGATGAGCTGTGTGCTATGTAGATAAAGTGTAGATGTACAGTACAAAATTAGGAAGACTAGATCCAACCCCTAGACTGGGCCTGGCACCCAGGCACTCAATATAGTTGTGGAAAGAAGCTAACAGCGAAGAAAATGCTGGGTTGTATAAGCCAAAAATTAGTCCAAAAGGGAACAAAAGAACAGGATTTCTTGTCAGATGCTGTGCTCAGCCCTAAAGATAAGAAATTAGAAGTGTGTACCTTGGGATGTGAGAAAGCAGGGCTTTGGAGGAGGACTTGGAATTTTTAGAAGCAGGTTCCAGAAACTAAGAGAAAGGCTGGACAAAGCAGGTGGCAGGGGGCCTTCTGAAAGCCCCGTTTCAGCCTCCCTTGGTGTGATTGTGTTTAGTCACTTGGAAAATGATATGGTCCAAGGATCAGGGAGTGAAAAGAATCAGCTTATCTGACCAGGGACTCCCTTGAGCCTTTTATTCCTTCTTCCATCCTTCCGTTTCTTCATCATCTGTTCTTCCATTCTACAAATAACGGTTCTACCTTTGAGTCCAGGGAACAAGCGAATGGAACTAAGAATTCCCTAATGTATCTGCTGCCCTGTACGAAGTTAGATGGACCCCACCTGCTACACATGTCATTAAATTGAGGGGAAAACAACATGCCAGTCAGCAAGATTTCCCACACTATAGCTGATGGTGTTTCTTGGAATATGAAAATGGAATGTGGCAACCAGAAAACACGCCATGGCCTTTGGCACAAAGGAAAATCATTGTAAACTTTTATTATTGTTCGTGGGTCAGACCAGAAGTGAACAAAGTCCCTTCTGTTTGGGATTTCATATCACATCATGCCATTGGAGGGTCAACTCTACTGAAGGAATATCTTTAAGAAAAAAAGAAAAATTATTAAGAGGCATGATTATAATCTTTCAAGAACTTGGAAAAAGATAAAATAAAAATACTGCTCTATTCTACATGTCCCTTTCTCCCCACCCAGTTTCCCAAAAGTAACTACTTTTCAGTTTCTTAGGTAGTACTGACATACACTCCCACCTCCTCCACATTTCATTTATACAAGTGGAATCATTCCTTTTGTACTTTTTCCCCCACATAATAGTTCTTAGAAATGTCCTGGTGAATACCATTCTTTTAAAATAACAGTTTGTATATTTTATGTGTCATGACTCCATTTATCAGTCCTAGAGTGACAAATGAGATTTTTATTTTTTTCATTACAATAGATCTTGCAATTAGCTTATTTGTATGCAGATCTTGAATTTCTAGGCTCAATTTTAGCAGTGCAAGTGGTGAGTCAGTGGAATGTGCTTTTTTTATTTTGGTAAATATCGCTAAGTTTTTGTTAACAGAGGTAGCACCAATTTGCATCTCTTCAAAGTAGATTATAAAAGAGCCTATATCATTACACTGTTACCAAGACTGAATAGTCTCTGCTTAATATTTCCTGGTCCAGTAAGTTTAAAAAATGGTATCTCTTTGCTTCACTTTATATTTATGAGCAAAATTGATTGTTGCATTGTTACTATTTAAGTATAGTTGGCATTAGAGTTGTTGGCATTTTTAATTGGTTTGTAAGGGCTCTTTGTAGAATCAGAAAGTTAGTCCTCCATAGTATATGTTGCAAAACTATTGTTGGTTTAGTATAATTTCTATTGTTATTTTTGTGGAAAAATTGAACACTTTGCAACATAGCAAGATTGCATCATGAACATTGAGCATTTTTAATTAGTACTTTCCTATTTTGGCTTCTATTTTACTGTACCCTGCTTAGAAAGACCTTCACTCCAAATTCATAAATAAATTTGTCTTTTCTTCCATTTGTTTGTTGCTCCTGATGTTTTATATTTTACACTTAAGACTTTGGTCCATCCTAGAGTTTATTTTGGTATGAAGAATGAGACTACAGAACTAGCTCAAATTATTTCTCTCAGCTCTCCAGTTCTTCCTGCACCATTTCTATAAATAAACTCAGAGAAGAAATGACCATTGTTGCAGGAAGGAAGGAATTGCTGGTATACCTGAGGAATGTGGTTAATGCCAACGTTCCTCATCTGCCGTAACCAGTCCTATAAGCACTATGGGTTAGGATTATTCTCCCCATCTTATTTTTAGGCGAGACACAGATGCTGACATTTTCTAACAATTTGCAATTATACCAAATACGCAGTTAAGCAGGAATAAAGATCAGATATGAACTTGGATCTGACTCAGTCCAGGGACTTTGAAAAGTTTTCCCAGAAGGGCTAACATTGTTGCTGAGCCTGGAAATGGGGTAGAATTTGACAGTGGGCAAGAAGGCTCAGCACCTGGAGTTGAAGGATGGACGTGCGTGGTGCCATCTTGGGTGTAATGGGATATGCGGAAAGGGAAGGAGAGAAATGGGAAAGGCTCCCGGAGAAGCCAACTGCAGCCAGATTATAGAAACTTCCGTGCCAGGCGAAGAGGCTCCGCTTTATCACACCAGAGTTTAAGCCTGTGTGTGTCCTTTGTTTTGAAGGTATTTCTTCTTAAAAATAAAAATCATAAAGAGAAACTCAAGATGTAAAAGATGAAACAAGAGGCCAGTTTTGTTCATTGAATTCTTCCCCCCTCTCCATAATGGTTAGCGTGAATTAGAAAGCGCTTGGGCTTTGGAATGAGGCATATCCGAGCTCCTATCTAACCTTCGGTGATTGCACAAGAGAAAGGCTTTGCAAGCATTGATGTCTCCAGTAAAAATGAATAATTTGAATATAATTTAGCTTCTATAATATGCAAAAATGGACCATAATGGAGACATTAAAGATTCCCAAGCAGAATGACAAGATGACTCTACTTGTGTTGAAGTAGAAACGATAATCAAAATACTAGGCACCACTTACAGAATATCATGATCGCCAAGAGCTCTTAGCTGGTAAAGCTAACGGTTTCACAAACATCGTCCCATTTAATCCTCTGGGCATGTCCCACTCAATGCTTAGCACCATTCTAAGGATGCGGGAACTAAACTGTAAGTGAAATAATTTGCCCAGATCAAAGATGTAACAAGGGGAGGAGTCACAATTTGAAATAAATGTTAGAAATACTCTTTTCTTATTGTTGGGGATTCACAGAGGGTACAAAGAACCAGGTTACATTGATTCCATTTGTTAGATAAAGTCCCTGATAATTGGGTCCCGCCAACAGTAGTCTTTGTGAAATTGTTTTGCTTAGATTTTAACTGAGTTTAGTACATCTGACCACGATGATGACAGAGGGCAGCCCGAATTTAACGGAGTCAGAAAGCTGCCAGGTTTTGTATTTTGAGCTTGGGAGACAAATCTCAGATAAAGAAAATTTGCCCAAAATACACTGGAATATACTCCAGTTCTAAGACTGACTGTGAGTCATTTGGTCAGTGGCTTCTCTTACATGAAGATCCCACTGATTTCTTACTCATAGGTGTCAGGATCTGCTTCTGACACCCCTTGTCAGGGCCCAGGACTGGCCAGGTCTCCGGCCCGGCTTAGGCAGGGTCCGGACACGGACCGCTAAGCTACCTTGCTCAGGAACAGTTTCTCTTAGGTGCTTGAGGGGTTCTACTTTAGCTGGAGAGAGCGAGAGCGAGAGTGTCTTAGAGTAAAGCAGTAGTCTTCTTAGAACAGATAGATCTTAGTCTTTAGCAGAGCTTGGTAATCTTCAGCAGAGACACGCTGTGCTGGCGTTCTGCAGGCAGGAGAGGAGACAGAGTCAGAGTAAGTGGATCCGTGATAGAATGCCCATGCCTCTTGACTGCCTTCTCCTCCAGCCTAATATAAGGCTGAGCTCGTGCCTCTCACCACCACAGGTGTAGACACTGCCAATTCACCAATGCTCTCATCTCGCGAGCTCTCTCATGCTTGTTAGAACCAAATCTCTCTCCATGCCCTGTTCACCAAGGTGTTCCATTACAGGTATTTCTTATAACTCTCACTCCTCCTAACCATAGGCTATACAGGCTGCTACATTCCCCCCCTTTTATATACGAACAAAATAACAATGTGATAAGGGCAGTTCTTCCGGTTATCTAGCCCTTTTCCTTCTAGGCAAAAGATGGTAAATGTCAGAGTTCAGAATTCCAGGTATGGGCCTTTAAATGAGGAAGCCCAATAGAGATGTAAACTATTAGCCACTGAGAGAAAAAACGATGATTGTGATGTTAATTCCCTTAAAGGTCTTTTTAAACAGAAAACTGCGAAATCTTTCCTGAGAGAATTTGCCATTTCTGTAACTGTAGGAACTTTCCTTTGATATTTACTTAACGAAGGAACAAAAGAGAACACTTTCCTTGCAATCTTTGAAATCAAGAATTTTTCTCTCACTATTCCAAAGATTTTGCTACTCGAGGTCTCCAAGTCCACCCTTCACAGATCAAAAGACTGTTACTCGAGGACTAATG